CCATATTGTAAATAATCAGCTTCATCATGATCGTGAAACTCTCCATACTGTAAATAATCAGCTTCATCATGATCGTGACACTCTCCATATTGTAAATAATCAGCTTCATCATGATCGTGAAACTCTCCATACTGTAAATAATCAGCTTCATCATGATCGTGACACTCTCCCATACCGTAAAAATCAGTCTCATCATGATACTTATCATTAAAAGTGGATCAGAATGGTATTGTAATTAGATGGCGTTGATAAAACTGACAAACTATGAAACTAAGTAATTATTTAAAAGTATGGCTTTAAGTATTTAGTTCTAGTTAATTGCAACATCGTGACGATTCCTGTTTAAAAATTTCATAACATTATCTATCTTAAAGGTGGGAAGAAGTCTGTGAAAAATAAAATCTCAAAGCGAAAGAAACCGGAAATCACCAACGGTCACACTGAAGATTCCACAGCCAATGACAGTACGAATTCTAATGGCAGCCAAGCGAATGATAGAGCACAAAGAAAGAAAGCCCGTACAACGTTCACCGGGAGGCAGATATTTGAACTAGAAAAACAATTCGAAATCAAAAAGTACTTGTCTTCTAGCGAAAGAGCAACAATGGCCAAACTGCTGAACGTTACAGAACAACAGGTAAGAATAAAAATTGGTCAAATTCTAAGATGGGCAATGGAACCTGCTGACAGCAAATAGACAGTTAAGTTACTAGTAAAGGAGATGTCGGTAGGACAATATGAATTAGCCTCGTTCTCTTGGAGATTTTGTTTAGAGAAACTTTTGTTCTAAGTTTTATCCTCGTAACTCACTAAATATTATCAGAGAACTAAAGTATCCGGTTTTTGAAAACTTTCTGAAACTCATGAGGACAAAGTAACAAATGCTTGCAATTATTTATGTTTTTCTAAGGTTCAGATGAAAATATTAAAAGTGAGGAGGTTATGGGTAGTTTCTTATATTTTTACCAATATGCGCTAAAAGAGAAAACTTATCAATTGAAGTATCACAGTTCTTTAGAAGGTTTATTGAAACTTTGTAAACAGACGTGTTATATTCACACACTAACATACTTGGCTGGTTGAAACCATACGACCATTCTATGATAACTTTAATCGTTTTCCAGGGATAGGTTTCTTCTTAATGAACTCAAATTATCGGGAGATTAATACTGTAATTAGCATGACACTCTACAATGTACTTCATAGGAGAGATACTACAACTTTGTCATAAACTCTACAATACTCTTTATAGGAGTGGTACTACGATTTTGTCCAGTACTGTACTGTGTGTTTCATGGGAGAGATAAGTCATGTTGTTTAGTGTGTTGGGTGGGTCCAGCTTCCACACTTGGTACCTGGTTTACACTGTTGAAGGTTTTTATGCTAGGCACATTATTTCATGTAGTTGAGAGTGTTTAATGTGTTTAGTTTCCACATTCAGAGCGTTAGTTGATGTTAAGAGTGCCGGATAAGTGCAGCTTCCCCATTCGGCACATTGATTCATGTTGTTTGGGTTGGATGAGTTGAGTTTATATGCTTGCACATTGGTCCATGTTGTTGAGAGCTTTGTACGGGTCCAGTTTCTTCACCTGAAACATTGGTTGATGTTGTTGAGTGCTTGTGGATAAGTCCAGTTTCCTCACTCTGAACATTTGTTTGAAGATGTTGACAGTATCGAACGAGTCCAGTTTCCTCAGTTGATGTTTTGAGAGTTTTTGGATAAGTCCAGTTTCCCCACTCAGGACAATTGTTTGATGATGTTGAAAGTATTAAATGGGTCCAGTTTCCTCAGTTGATGTTGTTGAGAGTGCTAGATGGTCCAGTTTCCCCACTCAGGACAACTGTTTGATGATGTTGAAAGTATTAAATGGGCCAAATTTCTTCAGTTGATGTTGCTGAGGGTGCTAGATGGCCCAGTTTCCCCACTCAGAACAGTGGTTGAAGTTGTTGAGAGTGTTGGACAGGTGCAGTTTCCCCACGGGAATAATTGGCTGGTGTTGGTTAGAGCTTTGGATGGGTTTAGAGTTCCTTTACTTGGAACATTGTTTGATGTTGTTAAAAGTGTTGTACGTGTCCCATATCCATGCTCTGCATATTAGTTCATGTTGTTGAGGACCTGGTATGGCCTAGTGATTAAGGCACCCAACTAACAATCTACATGTTACGTGTTAAATCTCGTCATTGAAGACTCACCTTTTTAGCCATGGGGGCCTTCTAATGTGGCAGTCAATCCCGCGTTCTTTTTGTTAGAAAAAGAGTAGCTCAAGAGTTGATAGTGGGTGGTGTTGAGTGGCTATTTTCTCTGTAGTCTATCACCTTTAAATTAAAAACAGCAAGCAAAGATATCTCCCGAGTGGCTTTGTGCAAAATTCAAAAACAAGAAATCACGTTGTTGAGGGTGTTTAACAGTTGCATTCTCTCTCCACTCGGAACATTGGTTGATGTTATCGAGAGTATTGTACAGTTACAATACTTGGAAGATTGGTTGAAGATATTGAAGGTGTTGGTTGGGTACAACATTGGTTGATGTTGGTATATATTTTGGGTGATTGAGTTTTTCCACTTGGAACATTTGTTCATGTTGCTGAAGTTGTTGGAAGTATGCAATCTCCTTTTCATGCTCGACACATTGGTTCATGTTGTTGAGGGCGGTGGATGAGTCCTGTCTTCCAATTATGTAAACTGTTGTTGAAATTTTTTTGTAATTACCTTCAATTATTTTATGTTGACCTGTGTGTATATCAACTTGTAATGCAAGTTGAAGTTTCTGTTGAATTTCAATAAAATTACCTACTTAGGCTCAACTTAAAGTTCCTATTGGATTGTCTGCTTAATCGCAACTTGTAATATAAGTTGACGTTATTATGGATCATCTTCTTAGGCTCAACTTGTGATGTATTTGAACTTTCTATTGGATCATCTACTTAGGCCTAATTTGTAACATATTGTTGCGCCCTCTAGTTTCTAGAACTATCTTGTTCCTTCAGGAATGCTCTAGTATTTACTAGATAGGGTAGGCTGGTATATATAAGAGGGTGGCAACGTGACGCGACAAGGGGAATGTAATGTGTGTGTAGACAGTGAGTAATTGATCTGCAGTCAGAAGTATTATTGAGCACGTTCGTTGTTATTGCGTTTGTTTAGCGCGATTGTTGAAGTTGAGTGTATCGGTAAAGTTATATTCGGAAAGAATAAACCAGTTTTTATTAAGAAAGAACTTGTGTCGCTTAAGTTTCGTCGAAACGAAGTTACGGAAAATCAATTAACAAACGGAGACGTAACAATATATTAAAATTTCTGTAGATTGTCTACTTAGGTTCAACTTGCAACTATCGGATCAGTTATTTAGGCTTAATTTAATTCTTTTTACCTTTGTTGAAATGAAAATTTGTATTGATTATACAGCAAAACACATTGCAATTTTTTTTTTTTGGCTGAGGGGATAGCAACCAGTGGCACAAATCGTTTTTGTTTGCACCTTAATGAAAGACGTAGTCCTCCGTGATGCGTAGTATTTACTTTATGTGGAATGACAGTAATAAAACACATTTATATAACCTCATAGGTGGATGCGTAATACAACTGCTAAAGTTTTCAACCTAAGCACTTTACAGATATTGATAAAATATCACATAAATGTGCTTGAGCCTAACTAGCTCTAATACAAATTGATCAAATTCATTATTCCACATGCAAATTTGGTGTTTAGAATTTTATGAACATATTATGTTATGTATCAAGACTTCGCTACAATCGATTTGAAGTCACAGTTTCAGTTTAATAAGGCCCAACGTTTTCTAAACGCAGGTGCAACAAAGATCACGTGATATTATGCTTTGATTAGTTTTCGGGGAAACTGTAGGGAGAAAGAGAAATTATTTTGTATATCATGTGAAGTAGATTTTTGGTCTCATTTTATCTATCTAATTATCATGTTTAGAATTTATAATAATTCCAGTTTATATAATTTTTCTACTTCACCAAACATTCAATTACAAATTTAGTTACGTGTGCATAAAAATGGAAATTTTCCCACATTTTTGATACTTACACGTTTTTCACGTGGGAGTTATGCTGACGTAGTTACTCTCAAGGGAATAATCTATAATGGTGCACAAAACATGGATTTAAAAATATGTCGGAGATAATTACGTCAGAATGGAGTGTTTGCGACTGTTTTCAGTCTTTCGCCTCATTGGTGGACTCGGCTCGGCCATTGTTTGTTTGTTTTGTTTTGAATTTCGCGCAAAGCTACACGAGGGTTATCTGCGCTAGCAGTGTAAGACTAGAGGGAAGGCAACTAGTCATCACCACCCACCGCCAACTCTTGGGCTACTCTTATACCAACGAATAGTGGGATTCACCGTCACATTATAACGCCACCACGGCTGAAAGAGTGAGCATGTTTGGCGGAATAGGGATTCGAACTCGCGACCTTCAGATTGCCATGCCGAGCCTCCATCGGCCATTGTTTTTATTTAAGTTTTGAAATGGCCCGGCATGGCCAGGTGGATAAGGCGCTCG